GATAGAAAGCGTGGGCCGGAGGAGTATGCAAGGCGCATAAAAGCATGGGTTTGAACAGCGTAGGAAACAGAAAAGAAAAGACAGAGCTTGAAAGAGACTAAGAAGATACTTAAAAAACCCGGATGAGGACAAGGGGCCGAGGGCGAGGGCCTGGGAGGCGGCGGCAACGAAAAGGCAAGCGAAAGTGAGCTTTCATGTCGTTAACCTGCTTCAGGCGCTCTGGGTCAGACCCATCTCTGAACACACATTTACTCTACATCTCCATGTATCCGCATAAAAGCTGATCCATTCAATTCCAGATGTCCTCGTGTATGACGTATTATCCCTAACCCATTGCTATGTATAGTGCAGAATACCTTATCAACCCCTACACGCGCGCGCACACGGACGCGGACACGGACACACGGCCGCGAACTGACCCTTTCGGTGAGTGGGAGACAGTCGACAGCGTCTGGGCGTAGCCTGTAAACATGTATATCCAATTACGCGAACATTTATACAGGCAATCCTCGCACCACAGCCAGCAGTATGCCAGGGGTCACTTTTGGACCCCCGCCCCCACTCCGCAAGCACGCAAAAAGTAACCCTATTTACCTCTTAATTCACCCCCTTTGTGTCCGATCATGGACGCCTCTTCGGCCGCCCCTGACCTCTCTCCTGGCCATCTGATAATCCCGAATCCGAGTCCTGGCGCTGCCATTCCCTGCCCTGACCTGCAGCTTTCCAGGGCAAAAACTCCGTCCTTCAGCTCTCCCTTCCTCGAGCCCTTAATGACCTTGGCCGTGACCCTGGGCGTCTTAACCTTAATCTTCTTCCTTGAGCGACACTCTGACCTTGATACCAATCCTGAACATATATTTTCATGAATTCCTTACGATGACTTGAATTTCTGAGTCACAGCAAATACGCGCCCAAGAAAACATCTTGCCCTGAATACTCTTGCAGATTGCATCGCTTGCTTATTATCAGGAATGCTTACGACCCTCTGCGAACATCTTGGCAACACGGGCAGGGCCCAGCCAGTGTGACACGGCAGTTTCTCTCTAACGTGACACGACACTTCTCGTGAGATCCTGTTGAAATTTAAGCGTGATCATAAGCTTGTTTTTTTATGCGCAAATCATTCATATTCGACCCGTTTCTGTTTGGAAGAAAAGGGTCGCCTTACTTTCCCAGACCCACTCTGATGGAAACCGCATCTCAACAGCGATTTAAATCCAAGGAGCTCTTTCGGATATAATGCCGTTGGAACTTCAAATAAGCCACATTGGTTTTCACTGAATGTGAATCATGGAGGATTTAATATTTTTTTAAAATTCATATCAGAGTTTACAAGTACAAACAATAAATAGAAACACGTATATATATATATATTTTTTTTTAAGAGCAAGAAATGTCTAATAACAAGTATATTAGTGAAGAGAGCCCATTAAAAGTGTCTCTTACCTCGTGGTTATGTATGTACATTCCGGTGAGGATGGACGAACGAGACGGACAACACATGGGCGTGGTGGTGTAAGCCTGAGGGAAGTAGGCGCCTCCGTCCTTCATAAGGTTCATGAGTTGAGGCATGTAGTTGAGGGAACCTGCGGCAAGAATACAAATACAAAATACGCACTAGAAAGCACAAATACCATAGTGTCAGTATAGTAACGATCGCAAAACTTCAACTTTCATTCATGAGCACTTCATCTTTCAGTCCGTGGTTGCAGGGCAAGAGGCGCGCACGGACGTGGCTTGTGACTCACCGAGTTCGACGTCCTGGTCGTCGGTGAGAATGAGGACGATGTTCGGCCTCTTGTCCCTTCGCGGAAGGCGCGGCGGCCGGTGAGCCGCGTGGATCCTGCGCCACGAGTTCTCGTTTCCAAATGGCGTTTGTGATGCCTTCTGGTACGGCTGCCACCGAGAGCTGGAGTGCGTGCGCGGAGGCACGCTCTGGTTTTCTCTGGGACGTCCGGAGGCGCTGTGCTGGTACCCGCTTATGCCGTGGCGGTTCTGCGGGCCAGAGGACCGTGCTGTGCTCTCCTCTGAGGCAGCTGGTGTGTGAGGCGCCCTGGCTTGTGCCGCCTGCGACCCATGGGAGTCTCGTGCGCGTTGGTGCACGTCGCTCGACGTTTCCTGCTGACGATAGGCGGCTTGGCGCGCACTCTGTCGTGCGTGGTGCCGCGCGCCATCTTCCTCGCGCCTCCTTGGCATTGGCGCAACGTGCCCACTATACTCACGGGCAGACACTCTGTCCCAGGACGTCCGCTCTGCCAGAGTGCGGTCGGAAGGGGCGGTTTCCCCCCACCAGGACCTCCTGGTGGAAGTGGCCGGCCGGACCGGGGAATCGTGGCGGCGTCCTTGGTGCCTGGTGCCGGTCCAGGTTACCGCGGGCCTTTCCGCAGCCGTCTCCTGGAGCGAGGCGACCCATGCCAACGCCGATAAGGACACCCACGCCAACGCCCAGCCGCTCCTGCACCATACCATGCTGAGATGATCTTTACCCCAGTAACATTATCTGAAAAGAATAGAAACACTTTGTAATGTTTTGTATGCGCTGCTAAATTAATCAATTCTGTACAACTGAACTGTCTCCTTACATAAATATGTATATATACACGTTTGTAAGATGCTGGTTGTTTGTCTCTGACTCAGTGCAGACTTTCGATTAACAAACTTGCTTCAAAAACCCGGAGATGCAACTATCCCAAACCTTGTCTACAAAACGCTAAGCGTTGCAGCTATAGCACAAGACTGCGGAAGCGCGTAACAAAAGAAGCATGGCCGAAACAACCACAGCCGCCACCCTCTCACTAACTTAATTAACGTGTCAATAAAGATCAACTCGCCACGTGCAGAGGTTCAATCTTCATCCCAGGCTCCCCTTGGCCTCCCCGCGTCGAGAATCACAACATGAAAGTCTTGCCGAACACCGTGGCAGGTCACTCAACGAGATCGCTCGAGTGAACGCCGTGCACACGGTCCGAATTAACAGCTGATAAGATATGGTTATGCAAACGTTGTTAATACCAATAATGACAAGGAAGAAATCAGCTTAACGCCCATGGCAACACGGACCGCCTTCAAGTGACGACCCTGGCAGATGTGCACACTGGTAATGGAGATCGAGTAATGTCTGCGAAGAGAAATCTTATCGGCGCAAAACATGTGACGCTGGAAAGCCACCAGTACCGCCGAAAGCATTTACCCAGAGCTTTGAGAGGATCGCTGCAATGAGAAGCTGCCTTTCGGCTGGGCGAGACAGCCATGGCCTAATCTGCATCTCCAGTGCGTGTACCTGTCCTAACACAAATATCACCACTGCCTTCAGTAAATATTCATGGCATGTTTATATATTCCACTGTATCAAAGCAGCGTATCAAGATGAATAAATCTGATCTATCTATATGCTGTTATTCATTTCCTCTACCAAATAGGCAATCATTTTCTATGCAAATAATATTCGGACCCGTCACTCGCGCACCTCCGAACTAGCAAAGCTCAGCAGCAACAGCCTTCCGTGTCTCGGCCCTTCACCGTCCCCAGCGGACGCCTCCTACACAGCGCACAGCAGCCGGGCAGGAGATGCACCGGCGTGAGAGAAGGGCACCGTCCTGTATTCCATCTCTCGTCGCCTTCATCTGCACGACCCTGCAAGCAAAACAGCGGAGGGAAGAACTAGAAGAACAACGAAAATGCCGAGGGCTCTTTCGCCTACGAAGGAATCAAGCCCTTGGCGTATTCGAGGGGTTCCCTACTCTTCCGCCCGCTGTATCGCTTACTCTTTGCTCAGCATGAATCCTCCGTCCGCCCATCTTTCTCTCCCGCCGCCCGATAGGCTGGCCTTGTGCTCTGGCTCTGATGACCCTTCCTTCTCGTCCTCCTTCACGCGACCTTCCCTCGACGCCCCTCCCCTTCCCCTGACAACCGACATCCCAAAGAAACATTCCCAGCCGCAGATCCGACATCGACAACGCAATCAGCCGCGTACATGCCCAGACAGTGACCTCACACTCGGGCCCAGATTTTTCTCGCGCGGGACAATCCAGAAGCCGAGCCAACCGCTTGTTAATAGTCACACGATCCTCGTCGACTCCCCGCCGCTGCCTGGCTCTCTCGCTGCCACCGGGTCCGCACAAGCGACCTCCGAATCTCCCATTCTCAGACGGTCTCGACGTATCCGATTATTATTCTTTTATGAATTACATATTTCCCTCGGGTCTTCCCCTTCCCCCTCGCCGTCATAGCTCTCGCCTCTCTCTCTCTCTCTCTCTCTCTCTCTCTCTCTCTCTCTCTCTCTCTCTCTCTCTCTCTCTCTCTCTCTCTCTCATCCACTTTCGCCTTTCCTTCCCCTACCCTTTCTGTTACTCCTCAAGCTCCCTGCCTGCTTCAGCTTCAGCTTATTCTTCTTGTGCTTCTTCCCCTCCCCCTCCCCTCCTCCTCCTCTCCCCCCCCCCTCTTTCTCCTCCTCCCACTCTTCTTCCTCCTCCTTCTCCTCTTTCTCTTCTTCTTCCCCCTCTTCTTACTACTCCTCCTCCTCTTCCTCTTCCTCTTCCTTTTCTTCTTCTTCTTCTTCTTGTGCTTCTTCCCCTTCTCCCCTCCTCCTCCTATTCTTCTTCTTCTTCTTCTTCTTCTTCTTCTTCTTCTTCTTCTTCTTCTTCTTCTTCTTCTTCCTCCTCTTCTTCTTCCTCCTCTTCTTCTTTTTCTTCCTCCTCTTCTTCTTCTTCTTCCTCCTCTTCTTCTTCTTCTTCCTCCTCTTCTTCTTCTTCTTCTTCCTCCTCTTCTTCCTCCTCTTCGTCTTCCTCCTTTTCGTCTTCCTCCTCTTCGTCTTCCTCCTCTTCGTCTTCCTCCTCTTCGTCTTCCTCCTCTTCGTCTTCCTCCTCTTCGTCTTCCTCCTCTTCGTCTTCCTCCTCTTCGTCTTCCTCCTCTTCGTCTTCCTCCTCTTCGTCTTCCTCCTCTTCTTCCTCCTCTTCGTCTTCCTCCTTTTCGTCTTCCTCCTCTTCGTCTTCCTCCTTTTCGTCTTCCTCCTCTTCGTCTTCCTCCTCTTCGTCTTCCTCCTCTTCGTCTTCCTCCTCTTCGTCTTCCTCCTCTTCGTCTTCCTCCTCTTCGTCTTCCTCCCCTTCGTCTTCCTCCTCTTTTTCTTCCTCCTCTTTTTCTTCCTCTTCTTTTTTTCCTCCTCCTCTTCTTCTTCTTCTTCTTCCTCCTCCTCTTCTTCTTCTTCTTCTTCCATTTCTTCTTCCTCATCCATTTCCTCTTCTTCATCCGTTTCTTATTTTTCCCATTCCCCTCCCCCTCCTCTACTCCCTCCTCCTCCTCTTCCCCCTCCTTCTCCCCCTCCTCTCCTCTTCCCCATCCTTCTCTCCCTCCTCTTCCCCTCCTCTCCTCTTCCCTCTCCTCTCCTCTTCCCACTCTTCTTCTTCCTCCTCCAGCTCCTCCTCCTCCAGCTCCTCCTCCTCCTCCTCTTCTTATTCCTCCTCCCCTTCTTCCTCTTCCTCTTCTTCTTCACCTTCCTCCCCCCCCTACCCCGCCCTCAGCAACCACCGTAATGAAATATTCAGGCTCCGATTGGGATTCCTGCTCCAGCCGCCAAACGCATAAATCCGGGAGCGGCGAAGCGTACTAGGATTTTTCTCACCAAGTGAAAAAGTGACGGCGGCGGCGAGTGCCATCACTTATGGATGTGACCTTCTGCTGCTGTTTGGGTGGCAGAGGCAACAACTGTGGCAATGGCACCGACAGGTTCTCTTGTGGCAGAGAAGGTGGCACGGAGATGTAGGGTTCACTAACCAGTCAAAGTCTGGCTTTTGGGATTTCATTCCTCCCTTCGCGGCGAATGCCGGGCAACCGCCTCGCCATTACTATTTAATAACTGTCGAGAACTCCTCGAGCAGAGACAAAGGCGCTTCGAGCAAATGCCACAAGGCGCCGGCAGAGACGCCGTAGAACCGAAGATGCCACAGGGACTTGCATCAAAGGTCCAGAAAAAACAGAATTATCATATCTATATATGCTTTAATTGTAGGCTAAAATGAGACGGGGCAGAGAGATGTAAGCCACATGCTGAAGCAAATAAAAACGTATTTTTTCTGCAGAGTCATCTGACACTTAACAAGTTAAAAATAGATAGTGTATCACATGGCAGTAAAATAAGCCCAAAGAAAGAACTGTCACTGAAACGAATTAAAAGTGACCTCCTTATTTACATTGCGAATTCCTGTCGCTAATGAAGTCGTGTAAGATTAATCTTCACAGGGAAACATGCATAAATGAATTTAAAGTTGAATGGATTGACTGCAGACGCGCCGAGGGACGAGGGCAGCTGGGCGGAGAACAGGCGCGTGCGTCTCCGCAGGAGGCTGCGGACGGCGCTCCTTGTGAGACCCGGATGCGACATAATCATATCTATTTTTCATCTTCCCTCTATGAAATCGTTATGAACCCTCAGAATTCCTCGGTTGCAAATATTTTGTCTAGAGAAGCACATACAAAGCGTGCACGCATCTGCAGCTTCTGCCCGCTCACTTTCTTTCCTTTCTCTCCTCTCCCACTCCACTTCGGGCGTTCGCTCCTCCTCCTTACGCAACAACGCAGCCAATCTCCGTATCGAGACGGGATCGGCCGCCAGACGCATGCAAGATTGATCGCGTTCCGTCTGAGCGCTGGGAAGGAAGCCGCCCGCTCGCCGCCCGCCCGCCCGCCGCCCGGGGACACGCGCCTCCCCATTCACGGAGGCCGTCGATATGCGGCCAGGTCACCGAACTGCCCTCGTGCTCAGCAAACAACGGCACGCGCCCTGAGGACACTACGCCGCTCCTACGCACTCTCGCCATCAAACATCAGCCACACTAAGCAAACTGCACCGGAAAATTGAACTCTCACACCGAGAACAACTCCAGAATTCAAAGAGAGATTTCTTCCGAAAAATCCCGTCTACTGCGACATCTTGCGAGCACCACGTAGAAGGACGTAAATTAGGAAAGACAGACAAATCAGCTTCCAGCACCAATAATCGTGGAACAATATCAAATTTTAGTACAGGATGGTACAACTGCTGGTAATGTTATAAATTCTTTAGGACAAAACAACATCTTTACATATAGAAACGGTTTCGTGGAGCAAATCTCAAGCATTTACGAAAGACAAACCCAAAATGTTCTACAAATATCTAATTACTGCCTCCCGCGCGTTTTCTCGTAAATAATAATTACGATGCCTCCACCTCCGCACGGCTAAAGCCTCGGCCGACCTGTGAAGCGGAAACTAAAACACGAGGACACCCGAGTTTCCGCCCGCCAGACCTGTCAGCCGCACAGCCCAACCCGCTGGCAGGAAGGTCCCCCCTTTTTACCGCTGTCAATATCATATCACACACACACCTTTCTTTCCCTAGCCTCTTGACAGCCTAACGACTTGATGCGCCGCCAGGCCAGGGGGCGGGCGGGGGCGTGGACAGGAGGAGGGCTGCGGGGTCGAGGCGAGGGCAAGAAACACGGGCACTGCAATACAGAAGAATCTCTG